GGCATATTTGGAATCAGCGCGCGAAACTGTATCGATCTGTATATCTTTTAATAACTTCGCGAGAAAAAAGTTTTTCCGTAAAAGCAGTATTCTAAGAAAAAATAGCATCCATCGGCAGTCTTGTCCGGAATGACGTTAAACTACTGAAGTATGAGCCTAAGAGTCCGAGAAGACGTTAAACTACGTCCGGAACGACGTTAAACTACGGTAATGGTGCTTAGGTAAGGTCTGTTACGGTTAAGGATAAGGATAAGGCCTTGGTTCTTCTGATTTCTGTGGGTAGTGGTTAGCTGTTGAGGGTACAGTTGGTTCTGGTCGACCAGAGGAGTTCGACTGCCCAACGCACCCCCTCTGGCTCTTTTGCAGCTTTGAGCAGCAGCGGCCAGTTCTTCCGAGGCCACAACTTCAAACTACTATCATTTTGACTACTTTGAAGCTCCCGTTATTCCCGAAGCGGCTAGTTGAGCAGGGAAGGCACCTAAGGAGGCTTTAAACCTCCGGAGAGAGTCTCATGACGTTACGGGATAGAAGCTGAGGGTGCTAGGAGGCCTAGGTGAAAACGGTTTAAAGCCAGCTAGGCATAGCGAACGCGGTTTTTGTCTTCCCCCCTAGTGTTTTTGCCTATGTTTCTGCAGGTCATCGTAATACGGGTAGTAACGCGTGCCACTGCCTTGTCCTCTGACGCAGTTGAGCGGGTAGAGTAGGCTACTAAATGAGCATGCGATTTAAAAGTAACATGCTGTAGTTTACTCTCAAGGTGATGATCTGATGAAGGGTACGCGGATTGACCATGCTTTTTCGAGAGGCAGTCTCATCAAAAACGCAGAGCGAGTCAAGCTCTCACAAAAGTGATAGTTCTATCATCCAGAAAACGGCTACGACTCTTAGCGAACATCAATTTTTTGAAGATTTCCCTTAATTCTGGAAAAAACGAAAATAAAACGGTTTCTGAAATTTGTAGTTTTTTTTATGTTGATCCTGTCGACGAAAATAAAAGTTTAATTTCTAGTTTAATTCATTATTATACAGTGAAAAATAAGTTGCTTTTCGAATCCTGGCGCAAAAAAGATAGTGAACGTCGAGTAACGGAATTTTAAAAGATAATTTTAAATAGAATTGAGCTAAAACACCGTCCAAAACCATCACCAAAACGCACCACCAGAGACTTTTCAGAAGTAGGAAACAAGCAAAAAATGAGAAGACTTGGAGATCTGAATGAATTACTTGACGAGTTCGCGAACGATAATAATTTAAGTGTTAATAAAGTGCTCGGCTATCTTTTGTATCAGCGAAATCACCAGCAAAACAAAAAACTTTCTACGCTTGGAAAACACCTGTCCGAAACTGGTGATTTAGAAGAAGTACACAACGAACTAAGTTTAGACGAAACTCTAGCTTTTAAAAATTATTTTGATCTATCTCGTAACCAATTAAATTTTTGTAAATCCTTTCTCAGTCCTTACGTAAAAATTCCAAACGAAAAATACGTTCAAAATTATTCTAAATCTCTCCTTCCGGAGATTGCTCCGTGGGAAATGGCGCCTGAACACCTTCAAACCGGTGTTTTTATAACCGACAGAGAAAATGTGATTATTTTAACTGTTAAACGATTAATTGACATGCTAAAACTACAAAATGTGCTTGTTCGTACTTCACTAATTTACCGTGAAAAATGTAGATATGACGGAGCTGGCTCCATGTCAATTTATAAATCAGCCAACACTCCGATGGAAACAGCAAACATCTTTTCAGCAATGTACGTTCCTCTGTCTCTCAAGTCTGACTCCGGTGAATTAATTTGGAATAACCAAACTTCAAACAGCTCTCACTGTTGTAGACCGTTGGCTTTGATTGCAGAGAAAGAGAGTAAAAAACTTCTTGAGTTCATTAACCGTGTGTTTGTAAAAAATGAAGAGTTTTACCAGAAGAAGGGTGTGTCTTTCGAACACGAGAACGTTAACTATAAAGTTAAAGTTATCATTGAAAACAGTATGAAGGACTTAAAAGTCCGTACAATGGAGTCAGGACTCGGTGGAGCCGATTGTTTACTATGTACTTCGCGGAGAAGCGACTGGAAAGATCTCAAGAAACTCGTAGATTTTGATTGTTTTGCAATTGACCGCACTGCGGCAAAAACACTCGATCTTTACAAACAATTACTTAAAGACGACGGCGAAATTGAAAAGTCTAAAGATGATTACAATACAAGACAGGGCCTCATTAGTAAACCTCTCTTATCCTCTGACCAGCATTTTATTACTATCACCCACCAGTATATTAATGGAGTCACCTGGATACTAAAAATCATTTATCATCTTCGTAGCTCTGTATTGAACTGGAGTGAAAGGGGAGTGATAAAAGAACAAATTAATAAAGCACGTGAACTTGTGTTGAATGAAATTGAGAAGGCAACCGGCTTTCGACTGGATAAGTGTGAATTAACCGGAAATTCCGGCACTTCAACTACCGGTGGCCAAGGCCGGCGCTTTTTTTCTTTTGAATTACGGAAGGCAATTGTGAAAACGGTTCGTTCCAATTATCAAAAATCATTTGAAAAACTTCTCCAGCTCTACTCGGTAATTTTAAGAGCTGTTTCGTCTACTGAAAGTGTAGACGTGCCAAAGTTCAGGCAGCTGACTGTGGACTTTTCTGTTTTAATTGCAAAAGAGTTTCCGTGGATTGATTATTCAATGACAACTCACAGTCTCATTTTCCATTCAGCCGAACTTATTTTCCGTAACAACAGTAGAGGACTTGGCGAAATCTCAGAGGATGCTCTTGAATCAACTAACAAAGATGTTCGCAACTTCCGTGAATTTCTGTTGCGGAAGTGTGGACATCTTGAAGATTTGACCGACGTCTTTAATAGACTTTTTCTGCGCTCGGATCCAGTCGTTAATCATACTGTGCAGGAGTCTTGGTTCGTCGTAAAAGAAAAAACAACAAAACTGTCTCAACTTGTCTGAATGAGGACGATGCTCTCTTTCAGTCACTCCTTATGGTTGACTAACACTTCTGATTTTGCTGTTGAATAAGGCGATCTGCACATATAACAGTAATTTTTTAGTTTAAAGGCTAATCAACTGCCTCATTCAATTAGTGATTCTCTCCCTTTTAGTTTCTTGTGCTCGGCCTTTTCTTAGTCCACTTCAAATAACTTTTCGAAGACACCGACCGAAATCTGTCGAAAGTCTGTGACGTAGGAACTGTCCTCCTTACCATCAGGGCCGCCACTCCTCTCTCAGACTTAGACGGGTTTTGGTTGGAGTTACCGAAAAAGTTATTTGAAGTGACAAAGTCTCCACAGCAAATCTCCCCAAGTGCTGGAACAGTTGAAGCTGTGAACGGTGTTTGACTGGTAAAAACTACACTTCTAAGACTTCTAACAGAGAGAAGAGAGAGAGAGACCGTTCCTCGACCTAACACTGTTCTAGAACTTGGAGAGATTTGCTGTCAGTGACTCGTCCAGTTTTTTTCTGGATGAGGAGTGGTGGTGGGCACTGTCAGAACAGTTGCGCGGCGTTATTTACGCTGTAAGACCTTTTTTAACCTCTTACTTGAGGGAGAAAACTGTTTTCTAGAGGCCAGGTCTTTCCAAAAACGTTCTCAGAGTCTTGGCGAGGTCTGAAAATATCGTAATCGGACTCGGCGTACTCGAAAGCCTATGGAACTTTTAAAAAAGTAATATTTGTCACCTTAAAACCTTCAGAACCCTCAAGATTCTCTAGAAAACCAATTTTCTGAGCACTGTATCGGCTGAAAAAGTGTTCCAGAGGAAAGAGGACATGCGAAAACCTATAAATCGGGTGTTTTGAGTGAAATAGATAGGTTTAAAACCAAATGTCCACGTGCCTACTGAAAATTCCCCACTATGCTTAAGGGAAGCCGTCAAAATTCGCATCGGTGAATTTATTCACCGGTGAATATTTTCACCTATTTGATTGGAAACAAAATTGAGAACAGTATTATTCAATATGCCTGAGAAAAAGAATATGGAACTATCGTATAACAGAATGACGATGTATGTATATATTCTTTTCTGTACTATACTTGACTTGGTGTTTTTTTTCTTTCTATGCACACTATAGAGAGAGATATAAAGCAACAAATAGAGAAAAGAACAAATTTTATCGTTTTATCAAAAAGAAAGATTCCCTTTACTATGAAATTAGTGTTTGTTTATTTGTTTAAGCTTTATTTCAAGTAAGAAGGAGACAACTGATCCACCTACCCCGAAGCGGAAGCCCATTTCCATTATATCCGATGCAGGTGGATTAGTACTTGAATAGCGAGAATAATAATAATAAAAAATAAAATAAAAATAAAAATAAAAATATAATTATAAATATAAATATGTATGTGTATATATATGTCATTAAGAAAAATTGTAGCTTACAAGGTTAATAAAGTAGAAAAACGTTTTGTGTCAATTATATGCAATTATTATGCTTTTCTGGCAGTTTGTAGTACACAACTCGTACTCTATACTATCCTATTTTTTAGAAAAAGCTCTCTTTTATTTTTTGGCATATAGAGATCCCAATATTACAGAATAGTGATTTTAAGATACATTTTGCTAACTTTATTCTGTAATATAGAGATCTCTATATGCCAAAAAATAAAAGAGAGCTTTTTCTAAAAAATAGGATAGTATAGAGTACGAGTTGTGTACTACAAACTGCCAGAAAAGCTGGGGAAGGGTACTGTCAAATGTGTTAATGTTTTAATCTCGGAAGTTGCTAGAATAAACACTAATTTCATAGTGAAGAGAATCTTTCTTTTGGGTAAAACGATAAAATTTGTGGTTTTCTCCATTTTTTGCATTATATGTGTCTCTATAGTATGTATAGAAAGAAGAAAACATCAAAGTTTCATCTAACTGAACTAGTGCGTGGATTTTATCGACATGAATGTTTCGTTATACAATTAAGAATATAACGGTAATGGATGAGTAG